CATTAGAGTTCGGGGGGCTTTCTTGGTTCATCCTTACTTCTGGGGATCGGAGCCAATTGGGTCTGAGTCCATGGAGGACCATACTCCAAATTCTTTAGCAAATAGAGTTTGGTTATTCGTTTGTCCTTCCTCGGCTGCCGGTGTTGATGATCCCATGATCAATCCGATGTCTCCCGGTGCTCCGAGATTGTCCAAGCTTGGATGCTCTAGGTTGCTGGTTTGCGTCGCCGGAAAAGATATACTGTGTTATCGAGGACGTCTTTATCATAGTGCAGTGGGAAACAGCGGATGGGAAGGAGAGGTGGAATTGTTTGAGGTGGAAGGAGAGGGCCATGTCTACCATATCTTCGATCCTTACACCGAGAATGCTGGACTCATGATCAAGCGCTTGGCTTCATTTCTCAATAGCTAGCTGATCAGCTATTTCTTCTGTGTACTCTTTAGTGTCTAAACACCTTTATTTCGGGTGTTTCAATAGAAACCATTGAATGGGTGGGTGTGGGTCCTTACTGGGTGGAGGGTGTTTTGGCTGCCGATGTTGTTTTTCTTAGTGCCTAGTCTATTTCTGTTTATGTGTGTGTTTGTTGATGTTGTTTTGTTTTGTTTCTTTGTTTTTAGTTGTATTTTCCTTTATGCTTTTAATGAATTCTCTCTTTTTATTACAATAAAAAACCACAAAGGAATCATTGCATTTTTGGGCTGGATTCAATATTCAAACCAAATGGTGGAAATTTCTTTCTAATTATAGATATAAATTTATGATTTCCTTTGGTTTTTCTTGATTTATTGAATAAAGGATTGAGTAGATAATTTTTATATTTTAAGATGAAGAGAGACATTCATGTAAGTGAAATGAATCAATAATTTAAAAACTTTTTCTTTCTATGCTAGTTGTGAGCATGGGAAATGGATCACTTGGGTTGGAAATGGAGTTGTCACCATCAATCAAGGAAATGGAGGTGATGGGACTTCCAAATCTCTATGTCAAGAATTTTCTTTGCTGCATYCAAATCTTTCATTCAAACTCACCACTCAACTGTGTTTTCAACCAGTTGATCTCAGATATTTCTTTTGTTGCAATAAACATATCATTAACATAAAGCATCAAGTATATAAACAAAAGAATTATCTTTAGGTTTCCTAAAATAAAAACAACTGTCATACTTGCATCTAGAATACCCAAGAGCTACTATAAAAGAGTGAAATCTTTTATACCATTGCCTAGGAGACTGTTTTAACCTATATCGAGATTTCTTTAACAAGCAAACATGGTCTTCTTTCCATTTAATAACGAAACCCTCGGGTTAATGCATATAAATTTGTTCATCAACTTCTTCATGAATGGCAACAAAAGTAATAAAAACACGAATAGAGATATGTCTAACAAACAAACATGGTCTTCTTTCCATTTAATAACGAAACCCTCGGGTTAATGCATATAAATCTGTTCATCAACTTCTTCATGCAAGAAAGCGATTTTATCATCTAACAGTTTTAATTCTAAATTATGAATGGCAACAAAAGTAATAAAAACACGAATAGAGATATGTCTAACAATTGGTGTGAAAACATCATTAAAATCAACACCTTGTTCATGACTAGCCTTTAGCAACCAATCGTGTTTTATATCTAGCATCCTCATACATGGAGTACCTTCTTTCCTTTTAAAAACTCATTTGCATCCAACAATATTCTTTCCTTTAGATGGTCTCACAAATTCCCAAGTCTGATTCTTATGCTAGGATTTTCTACATAAGTATTAAGTTAACCAATATCAACATTTTCTACAACTGACAATGCATAGGCAACCATATCAACATAGTTATATCTTTGAGGTGGTCTAACTTCTCTCCTTGTTCAACCATTAGCAATAGAATATTGCTCCTCATCTTCTTCTTCTTATACACGTTCTTCTATCTTAATAGAAATGGATACCTGGACTGGTGTAATTTGAGGTGAGGAAGAACTTCTAACTTCTATTTCCACCTTCTTTCTTGAACTTTGTGTTTTATATGCATCATAGGAAATGAGAGACTCCTTCAGGTGAAGTATAGTAGATTCATCAAAAGTAATATCTATGCTAATTGTGAAATTTGGTGATTTGGGATTAGGACACCACAACTTGTATACATTCAATGGCAAGATCGATAGATGCCTATGCCAAAAAATCCTTAGAAAAACCAGCATTTGACAACATACACCTTGCTCTCTCTATTGGAGTTCTATTTATACGTTTTGCAACTCCATTCTGTTGTAGTGTTTCAACAACAGTACAATGCGTTCAATTTTGCAAAACTTGTTAAATTCAATTTTACAAATATCTAAACAATTATATGTTGTCAACTGCTTGACCCGCTTGCTTTTCAAGCAATGCTTTTTGCTGTTTAAAAGTCACAAATACATCATTCTTATGCTTCAGAAAATAAACCCATACTTTCGCGAAGTAGTCCTTGATGTCCTTGATGATGGTAAGGAGATATCAAACACCACCCTTTAATGTAACTTGTAAAGGTCCTATAGGCCTAAGTGAACATAATGCAAAGTGCGCTTCATCTTGTGAATGGTTGTACTAAAGTTGGTTTTTTCTATTTCCCAAAAACACAATGTTCACAAAAGTCAAGAGCTTTCCCGTACTTTAGCCACAAGGAAGACTTCTCCTGATCAAATACAGTTTGTCCTCTTTCACTCATATGTTCTAGTCTCATGTGCCATAACTTGGTGGTGTCAAACTCAGATAGGAATGGTGTAGAAATTGCAATTGAACTTGTGATATGAATACCCTGTAGTACATACAGACTTCCTATTCTCATGCCTTTTATCACAACAAAAGAACCCTTACTGACTTTCAAAACTCCACCTTAAGCTGAGTACTTAAACTCCACCATTAAAAGATTCATATGTGGAGAACCAGTCCCTATTGAGACACATATGGTAGGAACAACCTGAATATTCCAAAATCCATTCATCATTGGATTTGGTTTTGTCATCTGTCACTAAGAGAATATCAACATTCTCATCTTCAACCACACCACTCTATGTATAGTTATTCGTTTTCTTTTCTTCATTATGACATTTGTTTTTCAACTTATAACATTTTGACTTAATGTGTTTTTTTCTTGTAACAATAGTTGTAGGTTAAACTCTTATGTCTAGATTTTGATTTAGACTTCGGTTTACTATTTGAGCCATTATCCTTAGACCTCCCTCTTCCAAACAGCCTAGAGTCTTGGCTATTACTCCTATTTGTAGTTAGACATTTATCAATCACCTCTTTAGAAAGTAATGATGCTTTAATATCCTCTATATTAATAGTAATAGTGTTTTTGAAAGACTTATATGAAGGTGGTAAGGAACAAAGTAACAAAAAGGGTTGGTCTTCATTTTCAATATTAACATTAATATTTTGCAAATCCATGATAATGAAGTTAAATTCATCAACATGAGATTTGATAGGTGTACCTTTAGCCATACGAAACAAGAATAGTTGTTGCTTCAAATAGAACTTATTGGCAAGGGATTTTGACATGTATAGAGACTCCAACTTCTGCCATAAACCCGTAATAGTCTTCTCATGAACAATTCATAACAAAACTTCATTTGATAGCAATAGTTGAATCGTGATTAGGGCTTTAAAGTCTAACTCCTTTCATTCTTCATCACTCATAGTTGCAGGTTTCTTCTACTTCCCATTCAGAGTTTTGTGCAGTCCATCTTATGCCAAAATGGCATGTATCTTGACTTGCCAAATACTGAAATTGATGCTACCATCGGACTTCTCAATATCAAACTTCATTAATGACATTGCAAGTGTCAAATGAAAAATAGGGCTCTGATACCAGTTTGTTACGCAAAACCTAGAAATTAATACATATTCATATAGCACCAAAAAAACAAAAGAAAAATAAAGAGAAAGAGAAGCAAGCAAGAACACATAGATTTACATGCTTCAACTTATAGCCTATATCCACAAGCGAAGGAGCATAAAATCTCTATGTAATCAACAATGGAGAAAAATACAAAGTTATGCACTCATAACCTCACTCATAGAAAACCTTAAACCCCAAATACATCCAAAGTCTCACTCTTCTCTCACAAAATAAATACCAAGTATACAAGAGAGAAAACCTCTAAAGTACATAACTCTTTGTATTCAGTTCAAACCCATAAGCTAAATATGGATCGGGTTCATACCGCTATGGGGGCCTATGCTTCCACCACAAACCACTATGAAAGTTTGTGATTTCTTAAGTGTATGCTTCTAATGAATTCTCTCTCTTTATTACAAAAAAAATAGAAAAAACCATTTCTTACTCATGAATTGTAGTGTAGTTTCTTAGGTGTATACAAGTGACTTGCTTTATGGTATATTGCAAAAAGGTTCCATTGTTTACAAGAAATGCAAACATAGATTCACTAATTGGGCTACCGCATATAGCAACATCACTTTTGTTAATGGATTCATCTCCTCCATCTCCGAAGGCACACATGTATCCAGCTCATTATGCTTGGACGGTGGGTTAGGTCTAACTAGTAAGGGGGTTAATTGCTGTTGTGAGTTGGATGCATGGTTCAAATCCTTTTTCTGTTCAAATTTGTTCTTGTAGTTTGTTGTTGGCCCCAAATTCGATTGTTTTTAGTCAACCCCAACTTAGAATTTAAAGTTATCCCTAGTAGCATTTTATGTTTTATTTTGATATTATACAATTCATTTTACAAGGGGTGGGGGTGGGGAAAGAGCAGGGTGTATGTGATGTGAGGAGACGGGATACACCAAAAGCAAAACTCGTAAGAGAAAAGCATACAGCCAACATGCATGTGTGAGATGATGTTCTTTTATTTTTTTGAATGGATAAGTGATACCGAAATATTAAACCCAGATTTATTTTTTTGATGGGACCCACCAACTTACCTATCCATTTCTTGGAAAATGAAGGAGGCCCCAATATGTTTACAAGCTTTTGGTTTTCAATAGATCTTCTTTGAATTCGATTGTTTGCCAGGGTGCTTTGCAAGAGAGGAGCTTTGGAATCTCAAATACTGAACTCAGATTTCATTCAGGATGAGGCACCTCATAGCTATCATCAATGCAGAGCGAGGAATTTTTTTTTGAGGGGTGTTAAATAAGAAAATTAAATAAGGAGGTAGGGTGGGAAGGTACGAAAGACCCACCATTTTATTACGTTTTTAAGAGTCCGAATCTATAATACTATGTAGAGGGTGAGATGTTCTCCATGTATGACTATAATAATTGTGGGCATAATTGTGGGCAGAGTTCTCGTGGGTAGGAGATCCGGACTCCTGGCTATCATGCTCATCAGATAAAAGCTAGGAACTTTATCAGGAACATTTGAAGTTATATTGCAAGTTTTTTAATTCCTCTGTGCTATTGGATGAGAGGAAGGAATTTGGAAATTTGTAGAACTAGGATAATCCTACTCTCCCAGGTCCCAAGTAGAATAATCACAGATATACTCTCTATTCTCTAAATCTCACTATTGTTTTTCATTAATTATAAAAACAACATAAGTACACCTCTCGAGGGATTTAGATTCCAACCCCCAATTCCTCCCTAATTAATTCCATGCCAAAATGTCCCAACCTATGGTAAGCTTGTTTTGTTTTTTAACAAAAAAGGGACATGTTTTGAAGTTGAAAGAGAAGAGAACAAGGATGGATTAGGGTTTTGGGAAACTCAGGAGTATGCTACGGGAGTAAAAGAGTGTAAGTAGTCCCTTCCTCAAGGAAGAGCTTTCTTTTTATGGACAATGGAATCATGCATGTGTGCATGGAGAGAGAACTTTTAGAAGATTTCCAAGGTGGTTAAGCACAAATCCCTTAGTTGATTCGGTTGGGACATGCGATAGATCAAAGAATGGGGACAAATTACCAGCTTGTGCAGGTTGTGGTTGTCACCTTCTCAGGATCTTACCAAGTATTGCTTATAATAGAGAGCCTCTGCAAACCGTATGTGTTGTATGGAGGGACGTGCACCATGTGTTTGCTGATTTGCATAAGAGGGCACACCACAGTCCATAACAATGTGTTGTGGTCGGTTGTCAAGTCCTCGTTCATACTCTGCAATGAGTAATCGCAGTTGATCCGTGAATCGTGGCCCACAATGTTACGGTAGTAATATGCATAACTCTATCCTCTTACAATTTATATATAAATAAATTTTTATTTTATATAATATATTCATCGAGCTAGGTTCTTGAGCTTTCAAACCCAATATTTCATTGGTCGAACTTGAGTTGAGTCTTTAACTTCTAATGGCAATTTTGTTAATTTAATTTTAGGGTTTTATAATTCAGTCTACCCTTAGGGTGGAGCTAAGATTTCTAGGGGTGGACTGAATCCTATCCATGGATTGATGTCAAATTTACGAGTAGGATGAGAGGCTACAATCCAGATTTCTGAGGTGGATTGCAGTCTACTTATCCTTTTAATTTTTTGCAGTACTTTCATTAAAGGCTTTAGGTATGATTTTTTTTTTCTACAATAACTTTCATTAAGAACAGAAGGAGAGGACAAATCCCACTAAATCATAGTCCCTAAACTAAGTTAGATTGTGTGCAAGTACATTAGTAGCATTTGAAGCATGTGTCCTACACTCCTACTAGCTCATGAGAATCACTATACATTTTATATGATAGGAGAAACTGTGGTATTTAACTGTGCAATGATTCCCATAATTGACATTTATCATGAAAGAAAAGATAAAGATTGAAACTTAGGTTGCGTTTGGTTGCAATGCAAATGCCAATATGTATTTTGCATATTTATCCTTTTTTTTTGGTTCATGAATGCAAATATGGTTCACATTTTAAACCGTTTTTGCACTCATCTTGTTTGTTTGAAATCGGTGCAAAGTGTGAGCCCATCATTAAATGCTCTAACTATCTTATGCTCCAATGCCTTAACTTTGATAAAAAAGTTAATTACCAAAGAAACACAAAATTGTATGCAAAAAATAGGTATATTAATRCTCTCTTCTCAGAGTATATAAGTGTTAGAAAATACATTTTTGATCTGATAATCATTACTTTTTATATATCAAATAAACACTCGCAAACGCGAACCGGGGTATATAAATACCCCGTTTTAGTGTTTGAATCGCAAACAGAGCCTTAGCAGCAAGTGACAAAACATATACCAAAATATAACATGAAATATGGAGTAAATTGCAGATAAGAAACCTCTACTTTGTGGGATAATCACATTTTAGGGTCTAAACTTTCAAATGTGTCACTTTAGTGCTTGAAATTCCAGAAATGTACATTTAAGTCCAACTTTGTTATACTCACATTATGGTCAGGAATAAAATTATAAAAATGCCCATGTTTTCAATTCGTTTTCCCACTAGGTGAGCATGTTTTCAATACTCACATTTGTTATGCTTGGATTTTGGGTGCAAACCAGCAACAGCAAAGTGAGTGTCTGAAAGTGAGATTACCCCCAATACACGGACTAGGTGAGCATACTTACTTATTGCTAGAAAGTCAGAAGGTAGAAGAAGATGAATAGTGAAAAATAAAATCAGAACATGGGAATTTTTAATAAATGTACCTCTCACTTCAACATTATTTTAACAGATTTAGACTTGAATGTATATTTCTAAAAGTTTAGGAATTAAAATGACACATTTGAAAGTTTAGAGCCTAAAGTAAAACTACCCGAAAGTATAGGATATCTATCTATAATTATCCTAAAATATAGCATGGCAAGACTTCACTCCTATCTATGATCACATCTATACAATTATAAAGAGATACTTGCCTGTAGTCATAAAAGTTAAATCGGAGTACATATTATAAACTTATACATTTACCTATACTTGTACATGAGAATGTGCCCTCATACTAGTATACTGTACATTGAATCCTTCATCAACCAAAATATAGAATTATACCATGACAAGACTGAATTCAGATTTACTCGTCAGGGCACACCTCACACCAACCTCACAACACTTGCAGCCACACATATGGAATATCTCCTATACTTGTATCTCTTCACAGATGGATGGTGAAGAGATACAAATAGGGATTTTGGTGAGGCAAGCCATAAATATCTCTTCACAAATAGCGTTTGGCAATTTCCAACCCAACCCATTGGACCTGCCCAGTCCACTCATTTATTAACAGGTTGGATCTTGGGTATCCAACCATTAGCAGATAGATATTTTCATTGTTCATTTGGTCTTAATGCCTCTTATCTCTCCTCTCTTAATACCTTTAAGAGGCATTAAAAGTGTTGGATTCTCATTTTATTTTCAGACTTCATCATGTATAGTAGCAATAATGCTCACTTTTGTTTTTGAAAAATACCCCGAAAAGGTTGCTCTTTTTTTCTGATACAAAGTAAAGCTTAGCACCAACGAGGGAGAATCCTTCCTGCCGCGTCAAGAAAATAGGAGGTAAGCAAAGTCCCATGGAAGTGAAAGATTCAAAACCTCCTCAACGTCCTACCCATTACTTGCAAGCCAATTCGCCAAGTTGTTGCCTTCATTGTAGGTCTGGTTGTACGTTGAGAAAAGGTTGATCTTTTTTATGCATGATATGATTACCCTATACTACARCAACAACAACATTAATATTATTATTGTATTATCATTTAAATTAATTATTTAATTATATAATTATATAATTATTAATGAAATAATGTTTATAAATTATTATTATTTTATTAATTATATATGTATTATTTAATTATTTTATGATCTAGTAATGATTATTTTATTATTAATTCAATTGATTAAGATATCATTATTATTTATTAATAATGATTTTAATTAGTTATTAACAATTAATTATTATTTTAGTTCTTGATGATTAAAAACTTGTTAATTATTATTAATAATTAAGTTAATTATATAATTAATTATTTTAGTTGATTATAAGAATGGTTAATAATAATTAAAGTGGTTAATCATTAATTAATTACTTTAATTAATAATTATATAATAATTTATTACTTAATAATTCATTAATAAATGGTCAACTGTTTAAAGGTATTTAATAATTTACAATTTTTATCAATTCCACTTTTATTAATTATTTAAAATTCATTTATTTAATTTGTTAAATAGTTAAATGAACTTTTTTATATCCAAGGTTAAAATGGTCAGTTGTTATTTTTCAAAACTCAACATTCAGACTTTATAACAATATTCTTTACATTTAGAATTTATAGGTAAGAAAAATTCTTCCGATACATCTCTAAAAGTAATTATTGCATTCTGGAGGCATTAAGAGCACCCGAATGTCGACATACCGAGGGTTTGATCTTTGGGATCATTGGACCAAGTGGGAAGAGCAAATCAAAGCTCTTGGGAGTTTCTAAATCGCTTGTGGGAGATCTAGAACTGCCTTCTTCGACAGCTTAGAAATATGTGATGCCGAAGGATTTGTTTTAGTGTTATATACAACTTTTTTTTTTTTTTATTTATTTCCAAGATGTGTGAAGAGCTTTTGAAGTGTAATTCAGAATACAACCTCAACCTTGTTTCTTAATAGCATAAACTGTGCCTTGAAGTGGAGGTATGCATGCAACAGTTTCCTTGACGCTCGAATTAAAGTTTCAAAAACCAATATTTGTAAGTTGTAATCTATAAAGCCTGATCCATCAGAAAAGCATTGATCAATGAAAGTTATACTTTCTATAATTTCTGTTAGTCATTTTTTGTAATTTTTTACTCTTCTATATTTTTCTATAATATCTGCATTTTTTTTCTACGATTTAATGAATTAGAAAGTTAATGGGTTGGATTGGGTCTCGATTGAAACTTCTCAATTTACAAAAAACAAACATAAGAATCTTATATATCTTATCTGCCACCGGTTTTTGGGTTGATGGATCGATCGTTTGGTTCGAATGGATGGCCTGTTCTGACAATAAAAATTATAGGCAAAAAATTATGAAACTGTTCTGGCCACCGGTTTTCAGGTTGATGGTTTGACCATCCAGTTTGAACGGATGGCCTATTCTGATAACAAAAATTACAGGCAAAAAATTGAGTGTGTGAGGTCCATTAAACAGTATCATACGTGCTATGTCATTCGAGCGTGTGTCTCATATGACCCGAAAACGGAACCTTTCTGGTCACTGGATTTTGAGTCGACAGGTCAACGGGTCAACAACAATTAAAAAAATAAAAAATGGCCAAAAAACCATTGAACGGGTCAACGGGTCGACGGTTCAACTGCCTGGGTAATGTGTCATTGACCGATTCAATGGTTTTTGGCCAGGGACTGGGATTGGGATAAAATGGAACTGGTTGTCTAGATGGTTCCTAATTAAAAAAAAAAACAAAAAAAGGCCAAAAACCATTGAATGGGTCAATGGTTTGACCACC